GCAGGAGAAAGGTGGGGTGCAGAACTCAAATTCTAGTAAGAAGACCAGACTTAATGGTCTGACTGAGACTAGAGAAACCCCAGAAAGCATGGCCCCCAGGTTCCTTATCAACCCAGAACTAAAACAGTTTCCGAGGCCAACTCTTCAGACAGGGATTGGACTGGACTGTGGGACATACAGGAATACTTGTGAGGAGTATGCCTCTTAGCTCAAGTAGATACAAGAGACTAAATAGTCACCTTCTGTCTGGAGGTGAGATGGGAAGGCAGAGAGGGTTAGGAGCTGGTTGAATGGACATGGGGAATCAGGGGTGCAAAGGAGGAGTGTGCTGTCACAGAACGGGGAGAGCAATTAGGGTCACATAACAATGTATGTATAAATTTTTGTATGGGAAAAAATAAAAAAAAGGACATAGCCTGTGAAATTTGAGAATACCAAGAATAAAGAGACAATCCTGAAAGCTACTGGAGAGATAAAACAGGAACCAAAACCAAACTGGCATCAGATTAATATCAGCAACCCTGGAGACTAGACGACAAAGTAAGTGCACACGGTATGACGCAATCAACAGTGGAACTAACCTGTGCGGCCAGTGAGAAGAAATGCCAGGATCACAGCTCTGCAGCAGGTCCAGTAAGCAGTCTGTACACATTGTAACAGGCAGTCAAGACAAGTGAGTTCCAAGCAATATATAGAACCAACAAGCAACTAAATTTTGATTGATAACAGTGAAGAACGCATATGTTGCTTCTCAACAACAAAAAGAGAAAGGTACTTAGAAATTCCAGGGGAAGAATTATAGGAGAAAGCCAAGATCAAATATAAAACAAAGGAAATTGTAACCTGACTTTGAATAATTGCTAAAATATACAGAAAGATAATCCATGTGACCTGGATGCAGTAAACATTCTCTTTTGCATTACTCAAGGGTGAGGACATTGTTCCAAGTAAGGAAGGAAACTTGTCATAATATAAATAAAAGTACAGTAAATAAAGATAAAAGAAGATGAGAGTACAGGGAGGGCTTGGGGTGCTAATAACTTCCTCTTACATAGCCAGGAGGGGAGTGGTCAGCAGTTCTATGTGTAGTTGATGGGCAAGAAATAGAGGTTTACATATAATTATATTATTGAAAGTTACAAAAGTAACCAAGAGATGAATGAAAATAATGATATAACTAGCAAAATTTGGGGAAGAATAGAGAGGAGGGTGTAAGTGAGATAAAGCCTCGTTTTTTGTAGATAAATGCCAGGTGGTTACCCTGGCTAGAGGAAGGACCCCATGATTTAGGTTACTGTATGGGGGCTAAACCTTCAGCTGCTAACCAAAAGGTCGTGGGTTCGAACCCGTCAGCCACTCCTCGAGAGAAAGATGAGGGAATCTGCTTCCTCAAAGATGTACAGCCTAGGAAACCCTATGGGGCAGTTCTACTCTGTCGTGTAGGGTTGCTATGAGTAGGAATCTAGTTGATGGCAAAGGATTTGGTTTTTTTTTGTTTGTTTGTTTGTTTATGGCGGTAATAACCACCAGAAGAGCTGAACACAAAAACTTTTAAAACTGTTTGCCTTCAGGAAGTGAGTAGGACTGGGGAAGGGGAAGAGTGGGACCGAGGAATGTTGATTACTTTTAGTTTTAAGCCCTCTGTGCTATATATTTTATTTTTTCCCATGTACATGTATAATTTTAATTTAAAATATATAGAGCAAGTAATAGGTTCATCCATTTAAAAAAATTAATAGTCTAGATTAGAGCAGGAAGATGATTTGCTCAATTTCACAGCCATTTCTTCTGGTTCTGCTCATTCCCTCAGCAGGTTTTAGTGCTGGGCTTCCTTTTCCAGATTCTTCTGTTTTGGGCCTCTTTTTTCAAGGGAAGGCAAGGGCTTAGAGATAAAATAATGTAGAAGTGATGTATGATCACTCTACATAATATGTAGAACAAGGCAAAATACAAATAACTCCAGAAAAAAACTACTGTTAATATTTTAATGTGTTTCCTCACAATCACATATTTTTCATATTGCATCGGAAATCGACTCAACAGCACCTTACAACAACATATATAATTTATACCATTTTTATGTAACAAAATAGAAGCATTTTCTTGTTTTTTATTCTTCTAAAGCATAGTTTTTAATCATTTATATTTTATACTGATGAAAGAAATATATTTAAGTAGTCTGTATTTTAGGACATATTTTTCTACTATCAATAATATTATGATAAATAGCCTTTTAAGTAAATCTTTGACTATACCTCTGTACTTTTCATGGAGATTACTAGAAGGATTATTAGATCAAACATTTTTTATGGCACATTCTTCAGTTTGTTATCTCATAGGTGTTTTTAAGAAGATGGTTCTGTTTCCTCCAGCTTTAGGGTCGCAGTAGGGTTGGTCCACATCGCCTAGTCCACCATCACCAAAGCAGGAGTCCTGTTGTTCTGTCCTGTGACATTTCAGGGAGACAGATCACTTGAAGAAAGCAAAACTTGAATATTTCAGCATGTATGGCCCAAAGCCATCTAGATTTGCAATAATGTAATTATTTGGAACTCCTAACATAGAGCTGAAGCTTTACAGAGGAACAGTTAATTCTGATTATAATCAATGTCACAGGCTTCTTAAGTGGACTGTTGTAGTAAGATTGCATTTATGATGAAGACATTAGTAATTATAGCAGCTTGGATGGGAAACAAAGGAATGCAGCCCACTGTTGTGCTCTCAGCCAGCAGGAGAACGAGGGAAGTCTACACATTCCCTACCTTCCTTCACCCCACTCCTTGAATACCTTGTCAGGTGTTGTGCTTAAACTGTTTTGGAATTTGTATGGATTTCATTAGTGAGGGTGACAAGAAGTATAGACTTGAATACTTTGATAATAATGAGTAGTAGGATCAGAGATGGTATTTATAAAGTTGTCAAAAAATTTGTTATAACTAGATCAAAATGCACAGTTATCCTAATATATCACAGTGATATGAAACTGGTATAGTTATGTAAACCCTTTCTTTGATTTCTTTGCTCTAATTAATTTTATAAGCTGGAAATGCAACATTTTAAAATGATAAACTATTTTGCTGCTGTTTTTAGTCAACACATATTATTTAAAAATGAGAAAAAGTACATACAACCACAGAAATTTTAGAGCTCCACCCACATATTCTCATTTTACAGAAATGAGTGTCTATTTGCAACATGGGTTTTCCTGTGGAAGATATTATCTATTCCCATTTATCCAAACTTGTCCATAAATTTTCAGCCTCTATTTGAGGGTGGTGATGTACCTGCAAATACTAATCTAACTTCTTATACGTTCTTATCAGGGAGTAAGAGTGCAAAAATTCAGTCGGGCATATTTGGAAAGGGATCTGCTTATTCGCGACACAATGCCGAAAGACTTTTTAAAAAGCTGGTACTTGACAAGATTTTGGATGAAGACTTATATATCAATGCCAATGACCAACCAATTGCCTATGTGATGCCTGGAACAAAAGCCCAAAATGTACTGAATGGGCATTTAAAGGTATGGCACTTAAAATGTTTATTTTATTATCTCACAATGAGTGAACAAAAATATATTACTGTAAATTCTAGTGCATCTTCCAAAGCTTGTTGTTGTTAGGTATATATAGCGACCCTATGTATAACAGAACGAAATACTGCCCAGTCCTCTACCACCCTCACAATCACTGCTGTTTGAGTCCATTGTTGCAGCCACTGTGTCAGTCCATCTCATTGAGGGTCTTCCTTTTTTTTGCTGACCATCGGTCTAGTTGTGAAGATTTTTGTTTCTTTATGTTGAGTTGTAATCCATACTGAAGGCACTAGTCTTTGATCTTCATCAGTAAGTGCTTCAAGTCCTCTTCACTTTCAGCAAGCGAGGTTGTGTCATTTGCATATCACAGGTTGTTAATGAGTCTTCCTCTAATCCTGATGCCACGTTCCTTCTTCTTCCTGTAGTCCAGCTTCTTGGGTTATTCACTCAACGCACAAATTGAATACATATGGTGAAAGGATACAACCGTGACGCACATCTTTCCTGATTTTAAACCGCGCAGTACCCCCTTGTTCCATTCGAACAACTGCTTCTTGGTCTATGTACAGGTTCTGCATGAACACCATTAAGTGTTCCGGAATTCCAAAGCTTATGAATACTGAATTTATATATACTGTCCAATATGAATGTATTCTGTTCTTATTAATTTGGAAAGAGATATTAAAACTGAGCCCAGGTAATGTGACACCTATCAAAATGAATATAATGGGTCATCAGATCATTAAATCTTCATACATTCATTGAATAAATATTTATCAAGAGGCTATTCTGTGCTAGGCCCTTGAGATATAAAAATGGAGAATGTAGAACCCCTGTTCTCAAGGACTTGCTGGCAGCTTGAACAGAACAAAAATTCTAAAAAATAAAAGCAATTCAGCATTAAATAAAGCCCCTGTGTGCACCCACCCTGATGCTTTCTTTCTCTCTCACAAAGGTAGACTTTATGGAAACAGAAAATTCCAGCAGTGTGAAAAAACAAAAAGCTTTAGAGGCAAAGGCAAAGGTATCTCGGAGGGAAGAGATGGTTAAGAAATGTCTTGGAGAACTTACAGAAGTCTGCAAATCTCTGGGGAAAGTCTTTGGTGTCCATTACTTCAATATTTTTAATACTGTCACTCTCAAGAAGCTGGCAGGTAGGTCTTCTGTTACATGGCACAAGTTAATAGGCCGGAAGTTAATCTTGCTAAGGAACTTTTTAAAGGCATAAATATGCCTTTTTTATTATTATTATACTTTGGTCTCTGAATTGAAAGCTCAGAGAAACAGTTTAAACTCATTCTTGAGATAAAATTTATTCTTTAAGATATGTAAAGTATTTCATTATTCACAAATGGTATAATTTCAATTTTATACTTCTGTAATGTTGGGCATTAGGATATGGATAATTGTAATTTCTAAAACCAGAATGATACTCATTTTGTCACTTAATGATTTTGTGCTGATTATTTGCCTGCCTTACAGTGTTGAGCAGTGTTATGGCCAAATGTTTCTGCAATGAAAAGCTAAGTTCCTTATGAAAAGAGGTTGTATTTTATACTTCTTTGAACCATGATCTAGCACACTGCTATGTCTTTATTTAATAAATATTTGCCGATCTCATTTATTTTCATGGCTTCAGATAGCTCAGCACAGAATTTCAGTAGTAAAGGCCTTGGAAAACAAGTTGTTCACATAATTGACTGACCGGTATACATTACCTTCCCTATTCTTCCTTCTTAAAAATCTCTTAATCATCGGCTTCCCTTTTCTGTTCCCACTGCTACCACCATAGGTCATTACAGTATGTCATCAACTCTAAGATGCCATCTATTTTAAGACATTGTTGTTTTCTGGACTATTAAGAAAGAAAAAATTCTGCTCGTTAAACTATGACACAGTGCTTTTATTGAAAGAATTGTTTTTGACTTATTTAGAAATACATCGCATTTTTATGTAAATAACGCAAGCCTTCTACATTTGTTTGCCAACCACGCCTTACCCCTCGAGGTATCTTCACTAGTGCTGCTATGCCAATTTTTTTTAACATGTTGCCATAAAAATACCTTGAGGGGGGAGGGCACCGGGTCGGCAAACAAATCTAGAAGATGCATGTTATTTGCATAAAAATACGTTATTTTTATCATGTAACTCCGCATACATATATATATATATATATAATCAAAATAAATTGATTTAGGTACTTCGTAGGTCATGTAAAGCACTTGGTTGTTGCTTGCAAGAAACTGTGGAATTGTGGTCATTTCCTCAAAGACAGATATTTGCTTTATAAATGCCAAATTCATTCCATTACTGTCTCTGCTTTTTGCACTCACAATCACGTTTCATTTCAATGCTAATCACAGTATAGCCTTTCTGTAGACATTTCATATGGCAGTTACACTCAACATGTGAGGAACCAACAGTGCAATGACTGTTGACATGCTGACAGTATTAACAGCTGTGACTAAGTTCTCACAGGCACAGGCAGTAACAGCCACGTTACAGCTGCCATTTGGCCGTCAGCAGTTGTAAGACACATCTCAATACGACACGATGCAATTTCAGAAATGCTAAAGTGTGAAAAAGTGAGTGTGTCTTAGAATCAATGAAAGACAGTATTTTGTTCCTAGGCTGTTAGTGTAGTTTCCTAACTGGTCTCCTTACCCGCCAGCTGTGATACACATATATTAAAATGATATACATTTTAATTTTTCTAAAACTACAACAGCTTTCCAGTTCAGGGTAAAGTACAAATTCCATCAAAGGTCTCCATTGCCCCTTCCACCTTATCTTCCACTAACTCCCTTCATAAACCCTTGTTATGTCCAACAGGCCTACTCCTTTTCCCCAAATATAGGAATGATGTGAAAATCACAGATTTGAAAGGATTTGAAGTCCACCATTATTTGAGGAATTATTACTCCCTCACTTCCCCATAAGCAATCCATGAATAAAGCCTACGGACCCAGCCTTCAAAACCTCTCACCTCCACTACTGCGTTCTAATTCAGCCCATCCTCGCTCACTCCCGCAGTAGCTTCCACCGGGCTCCCAGTTCCCGCCTTTCCCCTCACATTCCATTTTCCGTACAGCAGTCAGAATGATCTTTAAAAATACAGGTTTGTCTAGCTACAAGGCTGATGTGCCGTCTATATGCAGAGGACGCCCAACTGCCTACTTGTTAAAGTCGCAGCAGAACACTTGCTTTGTCCCACGTGGGGAAAGACTGGAGGAAGAACAGGTTCAGGCTAGGGCAAAACAAGAATTCAGTTACGGCCTTCGTGAGTAGGGTCTACCGGCGTGGAGTACAGGGGCGAAGTCAGAGCTGGAAATATAAACCTGGGGCTTCTCAGCAGCTAGACAAGTGTCTATAGTGGAAACAGTGTGCAGAGAAAAGTCTGGCCAAACTCCTGAGGCCCATGCACGGGTCCTACCCACGTGCACACTCTTTGCTCTCTCCCGCTTTCAGCCCTGACTTCTGCACCGTTGCTCCTGGAACTGCTGTGCCTGTCTGCTCCCTCTAATGACACCAACTTTGCCATTTAGAGAATTGCTCCTTGTGCCCAGTGCTTTGCAGTTAGTTGGCATTTAACAAACATGTGCTGAATGGGTGAATGAGCATGAATTCATTGGGTTTTCTATGGGTGGTAATTTAAATTCCTAATTGTATCCCCATGCACAGAATCTTTATCTTCCGATCCTGAGGTTTTGCTTCAAATTGATGGTGTGACAGAAGACAAACTGGAAAAATATGGTGCAGAAGTGATTCCAATATTACAGAAATACTCTGAGTGGACATTGTCAGGTTCGGTATACAGCCCAAATGTCTGTTTTCTAAAAGCTTGTCTTAATGTTAAGCGGTGCATCTCACTAGATTAGAAGTCTGTGGTTTCTGGGTTGTGTTAATGTTGTGTACATGTTGGCACACAGAAGCCCAAGTGCTTGGAGCAGCCCCCATGGGTGCCGGGCACCTTTGAGAGGGTACTCAATGTTTAGGCTCCTGGGGTGCCAGTTACTGAACCTGCTCATAGGACCCAAAGGGGGACCTTTGGACCCAGGAGTTGCCAATTCTGTTGAGGCACGTGCCTGTGGACTCGGGAGCCCTGGGTGCCAATCCCAGATCTGCCACCATCTCACTCTGTGTGATCCCTGGCAGGCCACAAGTACCTCTTTGTGCTTCAGTTTCTTTATCTGAGGAAGGAACATGTTATCTGACAAGCATGTCTAAAGATAAAATTAAAAGAGTAGAGTTTAAAATGCTACGGAAAAATGAACGTGTCATTGGAATGCTAGCCAGTCTTTGAACGTGTCATTGGAATGCTAGCCAGTCTTCTTGTTGTTAGTCATTGAAAGACTCGCCTCCGTGAGGGCGTCATTAACAGCCACTCCCCAAGGTTACATTAGGCTCTGTCATGTTGCACCTCTAATTACGAGCCTCATCCTGAGCTATACAAAGCATTGACTAAGGGAAAATGGAGAACAAAGGAATATTTTGTTGCAGGAGATGGTAAGAGTGCAGAAGTCCTCTGCCCTCCTCTAACATTGCCATGCGCTAAGACGCAACAGAAAAGCCAAGTTAAATGTTTCTCCTGTTTCTGTATCGGCCCAGGGTAGGACTAATGGAAGCTGTAAGCAGGGTGAGAAGTGAGTGAGCATATATTTCAACTTGTCTCTCCACAATCGTTTTTTATCCACTAACAAAATGCTGGAAAGTAGGGTTTCATTCATACTTCTATGTGGTAATTATTCCATTAAAAGCCTTGCTGTGAATACATTTGAAAAGGGAAATGATCTTTTGGTAGGAACTCATCACCAGTTTAGTGTAGTCACTTGTCTGGAAGGGGGTTTGGCCAACATCAGAGGATGCTGTTCTACAGAAATGGCTCAGCAGGGCAGTGATAGCTCTCCCGATTATAGGGGGCTCTGGGTGCAGGCACTGCGCCAAGTGCTTTGCCTGTTTTCTATCATTTAATCCTCACAGCACCCATGTCACAGGTGAGGAGAATGAGGCTCTCATTTTCCCAAGGTCTCACAGCTAGGCTGGCAGAGCTCCTCGCCTCCAAGCCACACGGCCTCCCTGTGGGGACCAGTGAAGGACGACAAGGAGTGTGGATGCAGAATCGGTACCCTACCAGGCAGTAGGGTGGGCTGGACCAGCCAGAAAATACCGTTCTTCAGAAAATGGAAAGGGGCTCCTTGTGTGACCAGTGGGAGATATCATGCTTTTTAGGTGCCCTGGGATGTAAATACCTTTGGAAATTACCATCTGCTTCGCAAATTCATGCTTTCATAAAGACCTGTTTCCTGCGTAATATGTGAAATGTTCACAACGATTATGCAAAGAAGTGTTTTTAATATAGAGTAAAATATAGCCTAGAATTTTCTAGAGCTTGTTTACTAAATAAATATTGCTCAAGGATGAGGTACAGACCTTAGTTATGTTTCTCTTATGTTGAGTTTACTTTTTCAGCACATTTAAAATGATTTAAAAAAAAACAAGAATTGCCCAGTATTTATATTCCACTTTATATTTTTTAAGAGCAAGAGGATTAATTGCACAATCAATAACAGGGCCATACACAACAGTGTGATCTAAACCTGATGTCTCTAGTTAAAGAGTATCACAAACTCTTGAAATGAATTCTGATTCCCTTTCATTAAAAATAAATTGCCATTGAGCACTTTGGGGCCTTGTGAAATTTTAAAAAATAAATAAATGTTCTGTTCTTGCTGAATTGTTGACTCCCTATCATAGGGAGATACTGGGAAAGCAGCTAGCTGTCAGGTGAAGCGGTACCCTCTGGTGTTTGTCTTCATGCAGACTGTGAACACCTACAACCAGCACAGTACTACCTGTACAACCTGCATTGTTGTCCTTTTGTAGCTGAGGACGATTCCCCCCAGAGAAGCCTGTCCAGCAGCAGAGGCCCTGGAAGAAATGCTCCTGAGGAGCTGGATGAGGAAACATGCATATCTTCTCATTATTTTGCAAGCAAAACCAAAAATGAAAGGAAGAGGAAAAGGATGCCCGCCTTCCAAAAGTCTAAGAGGAGAAAAAGTGGTTATGGTGGTTCCAGTGCAAAGGGGTATGTTCTGTGATGGCTTTACAACTTAGGGCAGAAGGGAGAAGAATACAAAATTATAACCGCTCTGGTTTGCTTTGAAGCATTTATTAAAATAAGCCATTATTAAATAATTGCCTCTCCAGTTAGTGGAGTAATGATTAAGGTGGTCCAAAACTTGATATTTGTTTCAAATTCTTTAAATATCTACTCCTGTCTAAGTGAATGATGACTGAAGTTTTCTCATTTGCAAAAACTTCCCCAGTTTTGGCTTTACCTTAGTGGGTTTTGTTTGGTAGTTGCTCTTAAGAGACTTTCCCACCTACAGTACTGTAAATCATACCCTTTGCTTCCTCATCGCTCTTAGGACTCTGTCAGTGCTTGCTACATCATTGCTTTTATTGCTGCAAAATCCTGTGCACCTCCGCCCTGGAGGCCTGTCCACACTCCCTGCCACTCATTGATGCCTGGGAGAATTGTTCTGCCACCTGTGCAGGAGCATCAGCGAGGAGGCCGAAGCAGAAAAACCAAAAGGCCAGTCAAGCCAGGCACCTCTAGAGGCTGCATAAATGGCTTAGATTTCCTTACCCTCTGTGCTGGGACATGTCTGCTTTGGGGAGCTCTCTGCACACCAAAGAAGAACGAAAATACCATCGTCAAATACTGTGTAATCACCTTGGCAGCGTTCCTTATTTCTCCATCATTGCGTTGTTTCTGATGGCCCCTGTTTCCTGTCTTCTGCAAGGGCTCCCTCTGCTTTCTGCCTTGTAGGTGAGGTCTGGAAGGATCGTGGCCACCCCGTACATCTGGAGGGTGTGACCCCAAAATAACTGCACACTGTAACAGAATTGCTTGCAAAAAAAGGAAAACAAGTCCTCAGTGAGCTTTGTAAGCTGTTGTGTTTCTTTTGCAGTTTTTCTACCTCTTTTCCTTCTGGGTAATAAAAAGCCAAAATTGGGTGGTGGGAAGGGAAAGGAAGGCAAATGTTACCAAATTGTTGTTTTTCTGTTAAGTCCATAAAACAAACATCTTGTATGTGGTAATCCTTCTGCCAGGGTACAGAAAGTAAAGGCACTAGTAAATGTTAGTTTAATTTTGTGGTTTGTTTAGTGTGCAAGTGACCAGCAGAAGTTCTTCAGTGGGGACATTTTCTTATTTTCTTCCTTTATTCCTCCACTTTGGGGAATACTCATTTCCTCAGTAGCTCACACCAAGCAGAAGGAGACCTTAAAAGACGTCTGGTCCAACCCCCTCGCGTCTATGATGAGGAAGCTGAGGCCTTGCCTGGGAAGGGCTTGTCTGAGCTGCCCACACCTGGCCAGGGACAGGAACTGCAGGACTGGACGCTTGCCCACGCCACCCGAGCGCTTTCAGTTTTGCTTGTTGTCCGTAGATATTCCTTGAAGAAGGGCACGATCTTCCATCTCAGTTTTATTTAATTGTTAGAACAAAGCAAACCATGTTTTTGGGTTCACTGCTGTTAGCTTCCTGATTCAATTGCAGCAACTTTTGTTGTAAGCGTGGAGCACTTGGCCCTGTCACCCTGAATTGAATCAAATAAGCAGCAGTAAAACTCACACTTGTCCAAAAGCCATTAATGGTCTGATGCTAGTTTTTAATTAGCCGATGTGTTTAAAATGGGATTCTTTTCAAATCCCTGCTGGCTGAACTCAGTAAGTTCTGTAACTTGTTTTTTACCCTTGTAGAAGCCTCTTTAAAAAGAAAAAAATAGAAGCCAACTAATTGTCTTTGGCCTGAGCTCCAGCCTCCTTGTTTCCACTGAACCACTCGGAAAGATAGTTCCTGCACCTAGGATGAGCTCTCCTGGCGGAGAGTCCCAGTGCAGTGAGAGAATGAATGTGGCACCTGGCCAGAGACCTCACTCAGCACGCCATCCCACCCTCTCACATCTTCCAAATCATACCCAAGAGTCAGTGTGCCCTGGCCTGCAAATTGGGAGTCAGAGGGATGCCTGTGGGAAGGCGCTGCTGTTGGCAGATTCAGTCTGTAAATCAACATCAACAGCAGGTTTTCACCTGGGGCTTCATTTCTCAGCAGTAACCCAGCAGAGGGAAATTTAGGCTGCTTCTCTGTGCTTTAGCATGTCTTTGCCACGTTCTGCAGTAAGAGCGCCCTCCAGCAAGAGTTTAGAAATGTTGAAAAACCACTCTTCACCTAGCCTCACCGAATTGTCATATCCAGAGGCTGGTGGCCCTGCTACTCGGATCCCGGAATTTAGAGATGGGGGCATCACATGCATGTCTCATGCTCTGGAATTCACATTGCGCATGAATTCCGCCTGGTTGCACAGCACCGGGATACGCCTGCAGAGAGAAAGGCTTCTGTAGATAGTGCCGCCCTTATCGTGTGCGCATGCGGATCTCGGAGAGGGTTTTATTGTGGGGGGAGCTGTTATCTTCAGGTCAGCAGGAGAAGAGAGGTGCTGGAAGGACTTGGTGATGGGGTGTGGCAGGGCCGTCTTCCCTGGCTGTGAAGGGCAGCGAGGGGGAGGTGAGCGCTGGATGCAGCTTAGAGGGCATTGAGCTGCTGGCACTGCGGCACTGACAGAGACAGGCCAGGCAGTGGATGGGGCCAAGAACACCTCGGGGGCCCTCCCCGGGGACCACGTCTGCAGCCTTTCCCTTGGCTAGCAAAAAGGAGGCTCAGCTCCACTCACTCTCCCTGGCGGTGCGTGCCCCCACCCCCGACCCGCTGCACCCCACGTCCACTCACCCACCAAACCACCTTATCCCACACTGTGCAAGTGCAGTAATGCTGCAGTGCCTGTTGTTCAGGGGTGTGGGGCCTTGAAGGTGTTTTCACTTCCTTTAGTTGGTTGGAATAGGTCGGGGTATGTGGACCTCAGTTCTGTCATCTGGAGGGACAGGATACGGTTATAGGCTATGAAAGATGTGCCTAGAGAGAAGGCACATGGGGTTGGTCACAAGTCAGGATTGAGAAACAATCGTGGACATTTTAGAAAGGCAACTGTAGGAGACATTTGTGTGAAGGCCGCTGCAGTCAGGAAGGAAGCTTACCTTACCCAGGGCCGTGGAAGCCCAAGAGGTGCAAAGATGCATAAGACCGAGGAAAATCACGGATTGTAGCTCCAGGCAGATGAAGAGAAAGAAGGCTGTTCACTTTTGTTTTTATTTAACATTTTAACTTTCTTTTCTTTGTGACATTTCAGGGGGTCCACCACGTGCAGAAAGACATCTTCTAAGTCCTCTGACACATTTGGATCTAGTTCAGCCTTCCCTGGTTTTCAAGTGACTTCAGTAGCCAGTAGGAAACTGGGGATTATGGCTCCACCAAAACCTAAATATAGACCATTTCTTAAGCCGTCATAAGCATTTTCATAACAACCAAATCACAACGCACGTAGATCTTCTTTCTTGTTTGTCAGCATCTGACCGTCTGTGAACATACAACTGTTAGTCTCATTATACCACTTGTAATTTTTTTTACCCAGAATCTATTAATATTTAAATAAATGCTTGGGGGTGATAGTTCTCATTTTTAAAGTAAACACTTTTCTTCTGAATAAGCACGATTTGCTGCCACTGCAAGTGTTGTGGCCATTGTTTGTCAGAACGTCTGAACAGCAGCTGAGTCATCCCAGGGAGAGAGACTCTAAGCACGACGTGAGACCCAGAAGCCAGAGGAAAAGGCTTACACATGCAACGCTGTGAAACTGCACGACTCTTTCCTCTTCTTTTTAAATTCTTTTTTATTTTGTCATTGTTGAATATACACAGCAAAACCTAACACCAGTTTAACTGTTTCTACAAGTACAGTTCAGTGACACTGATTATATTTGAGTTGTGCAGCCATTCTCACCGTCCTTTTCTGAGTTGTTCCTCCCCCATTAACATAAACTCACTGCCCCGTAAGGTTCCCATCTAACCTTTCAAGCTGCTGTTGTCACTTTGACCCCATATAGATAGTTCTTAAAAGAGCATAATGCTCCAGGCAGACATTCTTTACTAGTTAAGCTAGAATGTTGTTTGGTTTTAGGAGGACTTCAAGGGATATTTTTAGTTTAAGGTTTAAAGATGATCTCAGGGCAGTAGATTCAGGGGGTTATCCAGGCACCATGGCTCCAGGAAGTCTGGAATCCATGACAATTTGAAATTCTGGTCTGTATTTTGCCCCTTTTGATCAGGATTCTTCTATAGAATCTTTGATCAAAATGTTCAGTAATGGTAGCCAGGCACCATCCAGTTCTTCTGGTCTCATGGCAAAGGAGATAGTTGTTCATGGACACAATTAGCCACAAACTATAGTACTTTTTGTATAAGACAACATAAGCAAAGTTAAAAGGCAAATGATGGGGAAAATATATTACAAAGGATTAATGTCCTTAATATGCAAACAGTACCTATAAATCGTTAAGAAAATAGATACCCAGTAGAAAAATAGACAGTGGATGTGAATATGCTATTCTCAGAAGAAAAAATACAAATGGCCCACAAATGTGTGAAAGATAATCTCCCTAATTAAAAATAGAAAATGATGAGATACCATTTTTTGCCTATCAAATTGTCAACACTGGATAATATCTCAAATCCAGGGTCAGCAAAAGAGTGGTCAAACAGATTCATATTCTGTTGGTGAGGATACCTTAAATGTTGATGTCCTTTCGTATTGTTGTTGTTAGGTGTCGTTGAGTCAATTCTGACTCAGCAACCCTGTAGGACAGAGTAGAACAGCCCCCATAAGGTTTCCAAGGAGCAGCTGGTAGATTTGAACTGCTGACTTTTGGTTAGCAGCTGAGCTCTTAACCACTATGCCACCAGGGTTCCCCTTTAGTATTAGGGAG